CTCTATAGATGAGGAGTTTGGGGGACTGTGCCGGTTTCTGTTGGTACCAGTTGATATAACTATAGCCAGAAAAAATGACACTTTCCCTGGCCCTGCAGGAGATGCCTGCCCTTTGCCCTAGAGACACAGGCAATGAAGCTGAAGACTGGGTCAGCACAATGTCACCAGTGGAGCCTGGAATGATAAACACACCTTGCTATCACAGATTTACTGATTGCACCCCAGTGTAAAGCCATCTCACATGTGGAATCTGTGTTAGTTATGAGCTACACTCTGAGAAGCCATAAAATAAAAGAAAAACATAAAAGCAATTAATGTCATGATTTCAATGATCAGGGTACCAAGGCATGGAAAAGAACAAGGGCTACAAGGGATGTTCCCAACACTGTACCCTCTCACCTGGACCCCAGAGCAGCAGTACCCACAGCAGGAGAGCGGCTGACCCCATCTCTGTGAGCTGCACTAGAGGCTGCTTCACGGGCACTGGCAAGCTGCCTTTAAAGATGATTTGAGCGATGGTGGCGCACGCCTTTAATCCCAGCACTCGGGAGGCAGAGCCAGGCGGATCTCTGTGAGTTCGAGGCCAGCCTGGACTACCAAGTGAGTCCCAGGAAAGGCGCAAAGCTACACAGAGAAACCCTGTCTCGAAAAACCAAAAAAAAAAAAAAAAAAAAAAAAAAGATGATTTGAGGAATCTGAACTGTGGTTAATGTCTCAATATGCAAATCAGCTCAGAAAAGCTTGATTCTGCTCAAAGGACACCTGCTCTTGTGTCACTCTGGGGCTGATAGAATTAACTAAGAATTCTCTAGAGCATTTTAAGTGTATTCCAAGTGATTTTGTGGCTGGCTCTGTGAAATCATCACATTCTGCTATTTTGAAGTTCCAGGTGGGGAGGACACTGCCACTACTCTGCTTGCTGAAAAGGATGTGAGTTATAGTAGCACTGTGATTACTCAGAATTAAACTTTTCAGAAGGATGTATTTATTTATAATTTATGTGTATATGTGTTTTGTTTGCATGTATGTCTGTGTACCACATGTGTGCCTGTTACCTTCAAATTCAAAAGGAAGAAAATGGATCCCCTGGAACTAGTGGGGCAGATGGTTGGGAACTACCATAGGGATGCTGGGAACTAAACCTATGTCCTCTGCAAGACCAGGAAGGGCTCTTATCCACTGATTCATCTCCTCTAGCTTAAACTAAGTTTTGTATATCATAGCAACATGTCTTGCATTGGATACTTCTCACCAATAGAAAACAATTGGGTTTAATAAGATGGGGAAAGAACAAGGTGTCACGGTTAGATTAGAAGGGACGTTGGCTCTACTAAGAGGCTTTAATGTAAATGTCATCAGGAGCAGAAGAGGCAGTGAACTGTGAGCATGGGATGAAGAAGGAGGCTGGAAACCTAACTTAGAGTGAACGGGCATCATTGAGGGTAAGTCAGGTCTCTCCATCTTCTCATTCCAAAGCCAATGCTGAGTCCACATGATGCCTTCACAAATGGGGGACCATTTTACCCTGTAACCAATAACACCTCCTCAGAATCCACAGTTCCTGTCATTCAGCATCCAGTTTAGGAGTCCCGGCTTTGTGGACAGAGTGGCATATATCCTGGCAATGTCCCTATTCTGAAACAGAAGGATAATGATGATGGGCTTTGTGTACCTCTGGACAATCACTATCAATTCAACACAGGACCATAGCTTTTAGAAAAATCCCAGATTAGCTGAGTAGTGAGGCCCTTTCATAATGAGCATTTCTCTTCTAAATGGCACCTGAACTGGAGGCTTTAAAAATGGGAAAATATTGTATACAATGACAACCTTTCGCCCTGAATCAAAACCAACTTGGTTATAGTATACAAACCTTTCAATGTACTCCTAGGTTTTGTTTGCCAAAATTGGGATGGTCCTAATGTTAATCATGTATACATATATACAATGCACATGTATATTATATACATGTACACATGGTAAATGAGATATATTTTAGATGTCTGATTAGTCCATTCTTTTTCATGTTGGTTAATTCTAAAGTTTTTCTGATGGTTTTCAGTGTGAATCCAAAGAGTAGTGCACTAAAAATACCCTCTGCTATTATATCAGGACATACCTCACCTTCCATGTCCATTGTATCCTGGTTTACTTTATAAAATTTGAGTCCCAAAGTTTGGTGTGTATTCATGTGGAATTGTTATGTACTTTCAATGACACAATTCTTGTATTGCTTTCCTTATGTGTTTAATTATGCTTTGTTTGGATTCTATTGTACTAGATATCAGTAGAGCTGTGCTTGAGCCCCCATTCTCTCCGTAGATTATTTCCAGTATTTGACTCTCAGCACATGTGTGTGTCTTTACCACTTAGGTGTGCTTTCTAAACAAAGTAAACTGTTACATATAATTCTTTAACCTCATCCAACAACATTCGTATATTTATTGCTGAATTGTCGTCACATAAGGTTATTAAGAAATGTTTTATTAATGTCTATAATTTTGTTGGGGTTTCCTGATTTATTAGATTGTTTTCCATTTTCCCTAGTCTTCAACTATGTTGGAGTTTACTGGTTTACAGTGTTGAACACACTGGATATTTTCCTGATAGCCATTGTTCATCCATCCCTCTCATGACATGAACGTTTATCTGTGCTCTCATGATTGAAACACTCTTTCTCCTATGTGCATAGTATTTTAGAGTATCTTCCACAGTGCTGTCTTCATGGTCATGAAATGCCTTAGTTTGTGATTGTCTTGTGATGTCCTTATTTCTCCCTCAATTAAAAATACAATTTTGCTGGAGATGGTTAACTTATTTAACAATTACTTACTATCAGGATCTGAAATATACTGTTCCATGCTTTTCCAGGCTTTACTGTTTCAAATGAGAGTTCAGATGTCATTATGATGTGCTTGTCTTTGGAGTTGAGTTGGTAATTTTCTGTTTTATTTTTTGACACTGGTTCTTTACTTTGTATTTTTTACATTATAGACACAATCTGTGACATGGAGAGGTTCTTCTCTGGTAATGTCCATTTAGGCAAGTAAACGCATTTCTGTGTTTGTCACTTTATTTCTTTATATTAAATTTTCTGTACTCATTTCACTCAATATATTCCCTATGCCTTTGTTTTTATCTCAGCTCTTCTATATACTATGATTCTTGGTATGGGGCTCTTCATCATATGCTAGAATTCTTTGACATTATATTCATGACAATTTTCTTTTACCAATAATGTTTCAATAGTGTTTCCACTTCAAACTTGATCCAGGAAATCTTTCTTCTGTTTTATTGAGACTATTGTTAATTTCCTTGTTCTGAGGGTTGTATTTGATGCATTAAAATTTTAATTCCCAGCATTTCATTTGTGTCTTTTCCTTTATTCACCTTTTCTGCTGTGTAGCTGTTTGTTTTATCCATCTTGTCTATGATTGCCTGTGTATCATTAGCTTTCGTCCCTACAGCCTTGACTGAATAAATATTTAGTTTGTATCTTTTCTGGAGATTCATCATTTTTGAAATCTTCACTAAACATTTTAGCAATTTAGACCTTTGAGATGAATCCTTGAGGGCATTATGATCCACTGGGGACATCATTTCTTATTGATTGTTCTTGATCTTGTGTTTCTTTGTTGGCTTAAGTACTACTTTGGTTTATTTGAGGCTTTTCTAAACTTAGCAACCTATACTCAAGGATTTACTGCCCAGAATCACTCAGAGAACCACTCAGCTTTAAGGAATTAGGAGATCTCCAGCAATTTTATGAAGCCTGTAACATACTTGTTCCCTGCCATATCTCCAAAATAGGTGCTCAGTAAGTTTCTTAATCAGAACATGGACACAATTAGTTAGCACATTTTTCACATGGGAGCACAAATATTCCCTTCTGAAAACATTAAGCTTTATTAATTGATATGAAATGTAAAGACTGGAAGGCAGAATCTGTTGACACAGAATTGTATCCAACATGAGTGTGAAGGGAGAGTTCTCAGTTTCCACAGTTGGAAATCAGATATGGATACTTCAGAGGGAGATGTGGCCCCAGAAACAAAGGTAAGAAATATCACATTTTCCCTTCTTTGCTGGTCCTAAGTGTGTGGATTCTGGGTATGTGAAGTTCATGTCTGTGTGTGTATCTATATGTGTATATGTATACATGTATATTTGCATATATGTGTATGTATATGTATGTGATGGATGGGTCGGTGTGGGTGGGTCTGTATTATGACAGAGACAAAGAGATAAAAGTAAAAGAAACTAGGGAAGAAAAGACAGCAGGAAATGGAAGGGGAAATGAGAAGGTTAGTGCATAGGGTCAAAATATATGATATACTAGAAAAACACAGCTTAAAAAAAAGAATATTGTGTACAATAAATTTACATCAATAAAATATTTTAAGAGTCAGCAAGATGGATCAGATGGCAAAGACATTTGCCACGAAGCCTGATGACAAACCTGAGTTTGATCCTCAGAACCCAAATGACAAAGAGACAATCAAGTCCAAGTGTCCTCTGACCTCCACAACTATGCCATGTCACATGTGTACCCAGAAACATTCCCAAAAATACACACAGACAGGGGTAATTAATTAAATAAAATGTAATAAAAGTTAAAAGAATTTATGGAAAGGAAAAGAAAAAATAGAAGAAATGGCCACCAATAAGGAAGTAAGAAAGCACTCCAGAATCTAGAAAAAGCAGGAAACACTCTTTCCATAGCCTCCAACAGAAATGCAGTTTGTCATCATCATCACTTCAGCCCATAGACTCCTATGATGGACACCAGAACTCCAGAAGTATAAACGATAGTTCCCTCATAGTCAAGCAACAGAGTTTTGGGTTATAGGTTACAGAAAGAATAAAAAAATAATACTGAGTTCTCCAGTGCATTTTCATATAAACGTTTTTCATATAAAAAACACGTAAGAGACATTGAACCCATCATATTTTGCTGGTGTCTGCAAACATTTTCATCAATGTTTCAGGTTCACTGACTCTCAGTCAAAAGGGGGAAGTGGAAGTGTGCAGGTCCAGGGCTGTGTGTGGTGCAGGCAGCTGATGAGACTCTCAGAGAAGGTTTTTGTTGAAGGCTGAAGCACTGTGGGAGGAGTACTATAATACTGCTGACAGTAATAATCTGCCAGATCCTCAGCCTGGACACTGCTGATGGTGAGAGTGAAATCTGTCCCAGACCCACTGCCTGTGAAGCGATCAGGGACCCCAGTGTCCCGAGTGGATGCAAAGTAGATCAGCAGTTTAGGAGACTGCCCTGGCTTTTGCTGGTACCAGGATAAGCCGTTCTTCTGGAGGAAGCTTGAATAAAGACTTTGGCTGGACTTGCAGCTGATGGTGACCATCTCTCCCACTGACACAGCCAGGGAGGATGGAGACTGGGTCATAACAATGTCTGCACAGGCACCTGCAATCAGGAAAACAAGTCATCATGCATAATAAAAAAAAAAAAACCACAGAATTTAATACACATGAAATTTGTCATTTAGTGTCCTTGTAATGCCATATTGTCAGAGTATTATTGCATAAAATTATTACATCCTGGCACACATTGTAAATTTTTTATATACAAAGAAATGACTCTAAAAAGATTATAACACTTTTCAATTTCTTACCAGACACCCAGAGCAGTAGGGACATGAGGACCTGGATCTGTGAATCCATTTTGCTCCCCCTGCCTGTCTAATGCTTCTCTGTATTAAAGATCTGACTGTAAAGATCTGGTTTATAAATTCTGAGTAGCTGGACTGGGCTGGAGGGGCCCATGCAAAGCAGTCAGCAAATACAAAGGCGGATGCCTGGGCAGTATGTGTGTCAGTGGCTGCTGTCAATCACAGGCAAATATACCATCACAAAGAGCATGAGAAATCACTGAAAGATATTGGCTGATAGCTCTCCAACAGAAATCTACTAGGATCTCTAATAATAGAAGCTTTGGTTACAATCCAAGACATATTTAAATCAGATGACTTGTGCAGAAACATTAGGAGAGCTATCTCAAATTGACAGTCCTAGGGAAATGATATGTTCAAAAAATTACAACAACAAATTAGGAAACAGAGTAAGAAAACATGCAGTAAAAGAAAGGAAGTAGACAAGGAAGAAAAGAGGAAAGCCAAAAAACAAGAGAATTGATCCTAATTATTTTCATTTCTCCCATCTCCAAAACAACTCTTACAGTAAGGACAAGGAACAGGGCCTTGGACATTTGGGTTCCAGTTTCTGGGCCACACACTGAAGAGAGATGTAAAGAGAAACCCATAATCGCTCTGTGGAAATCCTGGGGACATTAAATTAAACCTGAGATCAGAGGGACTTTAATCTCAAAGCAAAGTTAAACCCAACAGAAACTAACACGTGTCCTCCCTACAACTTCAGGACAGAAAGAGAACTCTACACTAGGGAAATGAAGAGGAATAAAGAAAAAAAGATTTCTTCAAGAATTCGTGGAAGACATACTTTGCCAAGAGTATTTATTCCAGAAATGCATACCCTAGGATAATTTAGATTAGCAGTATTAAAACTGGGTTAATGCTATGGAATAATGCTTTTGTACACTGGTTTAATAAAACACAGTTTGGCCAGTAGCCAGGCAGGAAGTATAGGCGGGATAAACAGACAAGGAGAGTTCTGGGAAGATGAAGGCTGAGTCAGGAGATGCTAGCCCGCTGTCCAGGGAGCAGCATGTAATGGCACACAGTAAAAGCCACAGAACACGTGGCAACATATAGATTTACAGAAATGGGCTGAGTTTAAGTGTAAGTTCTAGTCAATGGTAGGCCTGAGCTAATGGCTGAGAAGTTTTAATTAATATAAGCTTCAGTGATTTCTTGGGTCTGAGTGGCTGCAGCCCCGGTTGACAGGAGAACACTCCAGCTACAGGTTAAGATGGTCTTGCTGACAGAATGAAGAGGGGAAAACCCTTCCCAGCAGGGGGAACAACCATCCTAAATCATGTAACAATTTTACAGAAACCAATAAACCTCAACATCAGAGATGGTTCCCATCCATTGGAAAAAAATGTTTGAATATGAATGAAAATCAATAGCAATAACAGAAATCACAGAACCTGTCTGGACTTCAGGTTATTTGACTCTGAAAATATATATAAAAAGTTAACTATAAACCCAGTATTATGTATAAACTACAAAAAAAAAACAGAAAAATAGATGAATCATTAAAATATCACGGTAAGGAGTCAAGGTTCACATCTGAAATCCCACAACTGGGGAGATAGAAGCAGGAGAATGGGGCATTTGGGGCCAGATTTGAGGCTGGACTAATCTATGAATGGAAACAATCTCTCAAAAATATGTATTATAAATCAACTGGCTACAAAGCAGCTCATGGCATTTGATATGCAAAACAAAGTAGTTATCTGACATTAATGTTTAAGCATTAAGCCAAGAATACTACTGAAAATTAAATAAGCATTTAAGTAACATGCACTTACCTTTTTTATATTAATTATACAATTTTATACATCTACTTTTTGTGCACAAAATGTTAAATTATTTCTGATGAGCATTTTCAGATCTCCTCTGTCAACTGCAAACACACCATCATATGAGAGAGATAAAGAGGATGTGGATTAAGGAAGTTCCCAATCTCGAGGTCAAGAATATCACAGAGGAGTATCTGTCCTGTCAGTGTATAACAAGTTGTCATGTACTCTCGATCTTTGCTAAACTCTGTACTTTGCTTTGTGACAGCTGTAGTGAGCTCAGATTGTGTTTCATGTCATTTACTGCTGCTCATTCACATTGGACACATGGAGACTGGGGTCTTACAAATCCAAATCTCCTGCAGTTAATCATGTGCTTTTCACAGTGTGTAAGTGGGGAGCATGAAGACTAAAAGGACAAAATTTCTGTGTTCTTTTATGTGTAATAGAAAAAGCTGGATAGTCCTTAGTTACTGCTTTTCCCACAACTCAAGTTTCCACACTGTCCTGGTGCATTAGATTCCTTGGGCTGGGATTAAAAGTGAACAAACTACAAACCTACTGGCCGATAACAACACAGATTAATTTGCTCCCAGCGTTTATCCAGGAAGTCTGATGTTGATGACCTTGAGCTCATGGAACACAGCACCCTCTTCCATGGGTACCACTGTGGAATGACGCCCAGGGAAGTCGTATTTCATCTGTAAAATAAGCAAAATGGAGGAAGAAGATGTTGTCATTTATTATGGTGTAAAAGCACTCAATCTCTACATACAGGACAGTAGCCTAAAATGCAAACCTCCCTAAATAAATGGTCCAAATGCTATCACATGTTACTTATCTTTGGCACATCATTGAATATTTCCTGAAATTGTGTGAGAGGAAGAACAATAGACCAACAAGTTACAGCTGAGTTCTGTACACCATGGAAAATCAGCTTTATTCAGGCAAAACCTTAATGGTCCTTTCAGCTCCACCATCCTCAGTATGGAAAAATGAAGCAGAAGAATAAACATTATCCAATCTCTTCTAAATAAATAGATATGATTGAAGGTAAGGGAAGTTCCAGGGTATCAATAATTCTTATTGTTCTGAAGTTGATTAGTGACTTTTACATGATTTTTTTATGCCTTTGTATCATTTTTGGCTATGAGATAGAAACCAAAGCAAAAACAAAAATTCACCTCATCTGATTAATGAACTAAAAGGAAATCAGGATAGTGACTATAAATGACAGGCAGACAGAACAGAAAGAGCAAGCAGTATAAGCTGCTGGAGGGAATGCAACCTAGTACAACCACTGTGGACGTCAGAATGAAGTTCCACAAGAAAACATAAAAATATACAATATGATTTAGCTACTCCAGCACTAGGTATATTTCTGAACAAATATAAATCTTCATAACACAGATGTACTTCCACATCCATGTTTATTGCTGCACTATTCACAATAGTAAGAATTTAAATCAACCTAGTGTCTCTCAACAGGTGAATAGATTTTAAAAAAAAGGTACATAAAGCAAAGAAATTCGTACAGCTATAATAAAAATAGAAATCACATAAAAGTGTTAATTTTTTCTCTGTGGCTCAATATATAGATTCAATTCAAAAAACACTCATTGTGTATGTGAATACAATACTTATTATTCTTCATTTTGGGATGGAGTTCAGCCAACTTCTCCTGGTCCAGGCTGATTAGTGGCAGTCTTGAAATCTTCTACATCCTTGGTGTTTTCCTTACTGCATATCCCATCATTATCTGTGACAGCCATTGAGTGAGGTGGCACATGAATGGTTGAGTCAGGACATTTGCAAAGTCAAGGTAATCTAAAAACCTTAGTGAGACCAAACTAAAAAAAAATAAAAGGTTGTACTGCTCTTACAATGAGACCTTTTGAGTACCCAGATGAGAATACAACCTTGACAACACCTTGGCTATAACTTACTAGAGCCTGAGAAGAGGACCCAGTCATATCCTGCTCAGATAATTATGCTGAGCTCATAAGTCACTGAGTTTGTGATAACTTCTTGTGCAGTACTAGGAAAGTCATACAATACATACATACATACATACATACATACGTACATACATACATACATAAATACCATCCCGAGATAGGACTGTAACTTGAAAAACTCAGAGATATACATCTGAGGATCATTTTGTTGAGTTTTTCACTCCACGTGGGGAGGATACAAAAGCCCAAAGAAGGTTCATAAATGAGTGAAGAGTGTCTATGAAGTAAAACTTCCAAGACCATGACTTGTACACTTGGGCCTCTAGAGTTCATGTACCTGTAATGGGAAAACAACCAGAATATGAAAAGGACCTGGGTTAGTGTCATGTAATTCAGCAGTCAGGATGAAGAGGCTGGTGGGTTGCAGGATCATAGTCACTGTGTGCTAGATAGTGATTTCCAGGTCAGCTCAAGTTATATAGTGATACTTTGTACTCCTCCACCTAAGAAGACAACAAAATCAGGCAAGAAGAGAATATGGCCACATTGTGGAAGATATTATAGAGAAAGATGTGAGTATTGAACAAGGGGAAAAGAACAGCTAATGAGTCTAAGCCCATGAATGAGCATCTGATGGGCCCAGAGAGGGAGATCAGAAGCTAGGCAGTAAGTCAGCTGCAGGAGGCTTGGGTGTGTGATCTGCTGAATAGGGACTTTGAAATCTCAACCAAATAGAAGTGGAAATGTGACATCAGACTGAGGATGTCAACTACTGTCTTCAAGAAAACTAGCAATCTTCAATATTCAAAGCTCTAATTTTGAGAGACCAAGGAAAATTTCCTGTAAATTTTAAATGATTGTATACTCAAATCAATTGAACATAAAAAAATGCTTTGAAATCGTATCATGGGGATCTTTTTTTATTATTTTATTTTACAATACAATTCAGTTCTACACATCAGCCATGGATTTCCTTGTTCTCCCCCCTCCCTCAACCCTTCCCTTTTCCCCAGCCCACCTCCCAAACCACCTCCTCCATGGCAAAGCCTCCCCCGAGGACTGAGATCAACCTGGTAGACTCAGTCCAGGTAGGTCCAGTCCCCTCCTCCCAGACTGAGCCAAGCGACCCTGCATAAGCACCAGGTTTCAAACAGCCAACTCATGCAATGAGCACAGGAACTGGTCCCACTGCCTGGATGCCTCCCAAATAGATCAAGCCAATCGACTGTCCAAAACAAAATGTGCTACTAATGTAAAATATATTCTAAAGACTTACACACAGTTTATATTACATTTTAAAGTGGCTAAAAATTAAAATTTACTGTGTAGCTCTTATCATGCTGTCTGGTGCTAAGAAGACATCTGTCACCTGCCTCTTCCATACAGATGACCGGGAGCGCCCATTGTAGTTACCAAGTGTATCTCCATGGACAGCTCCCTGTCTAGCAAAGGTCTGTAAGACAGACTGGGAAAGACACTTGAAAACAAACAGGCTGCAGCTTTGCTTTATCACTATCTTACATATTTGTTATCTACTTTTCAAATTGGACTGCACTAGGGATAAATCTTGGCCCCATTGCCAGTGGCCCCACATAATGCCCAAGTTACACAACTGTCACCCACATTCGGAGGGGGAATTGTGTTTGGTATGTAAAATGGGAAAAAAATCCCACTTTTAAATAAAAATAAAAAGAGCTAAGATGTTTAAAAAAAACAAATTTGACTGCAAAATAAACTAGCAATTTTATGACTTTTTATTTTTTCTATTGAACATAATAATCCTTTTTCAAGAGCAAAGGTAAATTTCTTCTGTTATTTATAACTTTAGAGCTGCCAAAAATTAGGACTGTCATTTATTAGACCTGGCCTATATTAAGAGATACATTAACCTATGCCATTACTTGTCACTTTATATCAGGCTCCAGAAGCCCATGAGAACTTCCTGTTTCCCTGTACAAAAATTACAACAATCTTCTAAGTAGAGAGGATGCTCCACAGTTCAGCTGTCAGATTGTTCCCACTATGGGGTCCACCTTTCTCTACCCATTTCATGAAAAAGAACTGATTTTCTGACATGTAAAAAATGAAAGGCACACATCTAATCTATAAAACATGGCTGAGGATGAGTTCTCTTCTTCCACTGTAGCCGAGGAGTGAAACCTTTTGCTGTAAAATTGCTAGTCATGGTCTTCTGACATTATGGAACCTGCTCATAAGTCATCTCAAATGTGATTTGTACAGTTTTGAGTAGAATCACCATGATGTATGTTCTTTTTCCTGTTGGTTCAGGACAGTTAATTCTGATATGTTACTCTGGTGGTGTTCATGTTTGACTGTGTAGTGGAATCATATTTTTCAAAAACTATCCCAACAGTGGCACATTTCCATCTGTTTTCCAACAAAGTCATTCAGATCCAATTTCCAACAAAAACTCTTGCTGTATTCATTTCATCTGCAAGAGCAATTGGCACATCTACCCTGTTTGGTGCAGCTCCCACAGAACATCTAACATGGAGTCTAATTATGTGCATAACTTGTCCAGCTCCCGATTCTTTAGCTGTGCAAATCTCATTTCCCAACTCCCTGTTGTGCTCAGTTTCTACTACTTGGTGTGTTTGCTGTATTAGCTGCTGGAGTTCCTGCTCTCCCTGCTTATGCTCCATCTCCATCTACCTAGTCATCCTTTCTAAGCCCATGAAATGTATTATCTTGGATGTATGGTTTTCATTGTCTTCTTCAATTCTCCCAAGAGTTTTGTAATCTGTCCTGTACGATTTCTTCTCGAACTTGATAAGTGCAAGGATTCTTGTTTACCCTGCAAATCATTAACTTGACCATGGAAATGTTTTATAAGCACCTCTTTAGTTGTGATTTTGCAATTCAGTTTGGCTGCTTTGAAAGAGAAATTTTTTAAGGCATTTCGGCAAAGGAGATTCTCTATTTCTCTCTGATGCGATGCTTTGACGGGCTCAAAACAAGTGGCAGTGTTGTCCTTGACCCTTTTCACTGGATTTTCAAATTGCTCTATTGATACTTCATATTCCATTCTCAGCTTATTTCTTTCTGAAATCAATCTGTCTATCTTATTTCTCAATTTGTAATTTTCTCATAAAACCTTTGAAGTATGGGAATCAGTAAAGGCATGTCTGTGGTACAGTTTGATGTGTAGGATTCCAGGGAAAGAGTTTGCATTTCCTATATTTGGGTGCCAAACTTCTTTCTTTAGCCTTTTGGCAGAAGTGTCCTCTCTGATCCTGGGGCTATGTCTGGACACCATCATTCTTTTATCCTTCTGAAGCCTCTCCACAGTTTTCAACAGGTCTTGTATCTCTCCCCTTTTTCTCCCAGTTCTTAGTCAAATCTTTCCAGCTGTGCTTTAGCAAGTGCCTGCTCTACCTGGAATTCTATGGACTGGAGGTTCTGATCCTCCTTGTCATTCTTCTTGTGATCTAACAGTATTTTCATGTTTAAGAACATCTATTTCAGCTTCCACCTTCTTTACAGTAATATAATGGACATTCTTTATGTCACCAAGTTCTGTCTCAAGTGCTTTTGATAGACATTTTTGGCTGCTTCAACAGTGTTACTTGCTATGGTTCTTTTGAAATTACTGATATTCTTTCAAATTAATTTTATAACAGTTGAGTGTAGAAATATGCCTATTTCTTCTAGATTTTCCAGTTTGGGGGAGAAGTATAAGATTTCTCAATACTCCTTAGTGATCATCTGCATTTTATGTGAAT